AAATTGGAGGCCTATGCATGTAGTAAAAATAAAAGTTGTATAAGATCAAATATTTACTTAAGTGAATTTTAGTAACACAATCGAGTTAGGATGAAAGCAAGTGACCAAAGAACACATTGAGTATGGTGGTCTTTATATATAACTACAGGCTTGGTGCATGAAATTCATAAAATGTAATGATATCCTTCAGCACAGCCTTTGCCCTCTCCAATCTGGGACCCCTTAAGGGATGTCCAACTGTCTAGGAAGTTGGATATCCCTCTCACAATCCAGGATTGCTGGCTCCCAACTGCTCTCCTGCCTGCCTACTTGCCTGATTGCCCCTAACCACTTCTGCCTGCCAGCCTGATAACCCCCTAACTACTACTCTGCCAGCCCTGATCGACAATTAACTTCTCCTCTGCCAGCCCGATTGACCCTAACTGCCCTCCCCTGCCACCCTGGTCACCCCTAACTGCCCTCTCCTGCTGGCTTGATCACTACTAACTGCCATCCCTTGCCAGCCTGGTCACCCCCAACTGCCCTCCGATGCAGGTCTGGTCACCCCCAACTGCTCTCCCCTGCAGGCCTGATCACCCCCCAACTGCCCTCCCTTGCTGACCTGGCCACCCCTAACTGCCCTCTCTTGCTAGCCTGGTCACCCCTAACTACCTTCCCTTGCCAGCCTGGTCACCCCTATCTGCCCTCCCCTGCAGGTCTGGTCACCCCCAGCTGCCCTCCCCTGCCAGCCATCTTGTGGTGGCCATCTTAGACCACAGGGGGTGGCCATCTTGTGTGAGGGTCAATCTGCATATTACCTCTTTATTATGATCTCTGAATGCATAATAATCGTTCCCAATAGTAAGAAAAAGTCTGATTTCAAGGGAAGAGATACATATTTATTATTTGTCTTGAAGGAGCTATTTTCTATCATTTGTGACTGAAGGGGATACCAAATCTTTGTAGTACCCATTCTAACTCTAGTACTTGTATTTTAAAATGGGGTATTTAGTCTCTGGGGCAGATTAACCCTGGTTAAAGATTTTTACTTTTAACACTTGTCTCCCTAACACTAACTACCCCTAAGGTAGTTAGGAGTGACCAGGCTAGCAAGGGAGGGCAGTTAGGGGTGACCAGGCTAGCAAGGGAGGGCAGTTAGGGGTGGCCAGGCCTACAGGGGAGAACAGTTGGGGGTCCCAAGGCCTGTAGGGATGACAGTTCGGGGTAACCAGGCTGGGAAGGGATGGCAGTACTTGTATTTTAAAATGGGGTATTTAGTCTCTGGGGCATAATAACCCTGGCTGAAGATTTTTACTTTTAACACTTGTCTCCCACAGGAGATGTTTGATATCAACTATAAGACCCTAGCTTCCAGGATGTTGCTGTCTCAATATTCTGAAAGCTAATAACAAACAGGGCAACTGAGTTCTGGGTAATATACACTGAGTGGTAGATTATTATAATCTCTGAGTGCATAATCTGGCCATTCAGTGTATATCCTATATAATAAAAGGCTAATTTCCAAATTGTTCCTTCAACCAAGAATTTGACCAGCAGGCAGGCCAGCCAACTGCCCATATCCCCTCCCCCTGGCCAGGATGGCTGGATCCCACCCATGCATGTATTTATTCACTGGGCCTCTAATATATGTATATTATATATACACTGAATGGCCAGATTATTATGCGTTCAGAGATCATAATAATCTGGCCACTCAGTATATAGCTTTTGGTATATTCTTTTTTTTTTTAAATATATTTTATTGATTTTGTACAGAGAGGAAGGGAGAGAGATGAGAGTTAGAAACATCGATGAGAGAGAGTCATCAATCAGCTGCCTCTTGCACACCCGCTACTGGGGATATGCCCGCAACCAAGGTACATGCCCTTAACCGGAATCAAACCCGGGACCCTTCAGTCCCCAAGCCGATGCTCTATCCATTGAGCCAAACCGGTCCTGGCAGCTTTTGGTATATTCCTAGGCTTTCTAAAAATAGCAGATATCTCTGCATTTCTAAAAATGGGAGGAAAATAATTATCTAAGGAAGGTTCTGGAAAACTGCAACCTTTAAGCCAAATCTGCATTTCCATTTGCTTTCATAAGTAAACAGTAGACCTGCACACAAATTCATGCACCAGTAGCTCTCTGTGGGGCCTGGCCACTCTGCACCCACTGCCCAGAGGCTCTCCATGGCCCGGAGGCCCATCCGTGGTGATGAAGCAAATATTCTGTTAGGCCACTCATGATGCCCACTCTCAGTGGCTATCCCTCTCCCCATGACTGGGGGACTTTGGCAGGGCTGAGAGGACTGGGTGCCGCCTTCTTGTGGCTATGGGAGCCACTATCTTTATGTCACTGTTGCATATTACCCTTTTATTAGATAGGATGTTTATTAAATTTCATTTTTAATTATAATTTACATTCAATATTATTTTGAATATTAGTTTTAGATGGACAGCTTATTAGGTAAAAAATCCTATACTCTATAAAATGTTCCCTTTAATATTTCCAATACCCAACTGGCACCATTCATAGTTATTACAATATTAGAGCCCAGTGAATGAAAATGGTACACTAGGCCCTGCCAATGATCAGGACCAATTTGTGGGGTGACTGTTGGGTGATTGCATGGTGGTGGGGGTCTCTCACTGGCACCTGCCTTGGCTGGCCTGGGGCCTGTGGCTGGGGCAGCTCCTGCATTGAGCGTCTGCCCTCTGGTGGTCACTGTGCATCATAGCAGTTGGTCTTTCCACCAGTGGTTTCACTGTTTGGTCAATTTACATATTCAGCTTTTATTATATAGGATTATTGACTATATTCCCTCTGCTGTACTTTACATCCTGGTCTCTATTTTGTAACTACCAGTTTGTACTTCTTAATCCTTTCATCTTTCACACCCAGTCTCTCAAAGCTCCTGTCCTCTGGCAACTATCACTTCAAGTCTCTATATCTCTGTCTGTTTCAAATTTGTTTGGTCATTTATTTTGCTCTTTAGATTCCACATATAAGTGAAGTCAAGTCATTTGGTATTTGTCTTTTTTCTGGCTGACTTGTTTCAGTTATCATAATACCCTCTAGGACTGCTGTATTGTCCGAAAAATGCAAAATGAAACCACAATGAGACACCACCTCATACCTGTCAGAATCATCAATAAATTAACAAACAAGTGTTTGCAAGGATTTGGAGACAGGGAACCCTCTGGCATTGTTGGTGGAAATGCAGATAGGTAAAGCCACTTTGAAAAAACGGTATGGAGGTTCCTCAAAAAGTTAAAAATAGAACTGCTTTATATAAATATATTTTTATTTTAACAAGTAACATGTTCATCTGTTTATGTGCTGTTGTTGATGGCTGCTTTCAAGCTAATGACAGAATTGAATAATTGAAACAATATAGTCTGTAAAACTGGAAATATTCACTATCTGGTCCTCTACAAAAAAATGATAGTTTCAGGAACATTACAGAGTTTCTTTATATTCTGCATTTATTTTTCCTTATTATTAACCAAGATTGATATATTATTATTAACTAAAGTTCACACTTTGTTAGAATTGTCTGTGTTTTTAATTAATGTCCTTTTTTTGTCTCAGGATCTCATCCATGGATACCATGTTACATTTACAAGATTCCTCCTGACTGTGACAGTTTCTCAGAGATCCTTTGTATTTAATGATCTTGATAAAACATGCATACTGGCAATATATTTTGTATATTTTTCTTCAATTTGGATTTATCTGATATTTTCTCCATGGTTTTACAATGAACATAGCTTTTTGGACAAAGGCCATCGAGATAAAGAGCCACTTCATCACATATCAAGGATCTCTACTGTAAACATGTCTGATCACTAATGATGTTAACCAACTGAGGTAGTGGCCACGTTTCTTTACTGTAAATATGTTCTCTCACAATCCTATCACTAACCTCTTTCATACTCTTTAGAAGGAAGTCAGGAAGTGAATCCAACATTTAGGGAATGGAATGAGAGTCATACATAATTAGTTGTGAATTTTCTCTGTATGATATTCATCTATTCTCTTGAACTTATTTATCCAATTATTTATTTATATCAGCATGTAAGTATGGATATCCATTTATACCATGCTCAGAAATCCCTATATTTTTCTCTAAATAGTAGGAAAGCAAACCATATTAACTTCTCCTTATATTTGACCTTATAGGTTAGGAATTAAGAATATAATAATATACTAAAGACCCATAGTGAATTTTTTATGATCTTGTGTGTCTTCTGATTTGGAGAAAGGGAACAATGTAGTATAGGAAAAAATAATAATCAATAGAATGCAGAAAAAATAGGAGACAAGCCAAAATAGCAGTTTATGTAAAGAACCGTAACTAATCTTTGATTCCTTTTGTTTTTGTTTTGTTTTATTGGCAAATATCACATTTTGTAAAACTTTAGTTTACAGAATGCAAATTCATTGCATTTTATATATGACTTTCAAGTATAAATAACACTCATTGGTAGTGTTGATAGACATCTGAATAATTCTGTTAGAGACAAAATTTATATTAGATTAAATTCCAAATTAAATATGTTGTAAAAAAAAAATCAGGAACTACATAATAGGTATTAGTATAATTATGCCCCCAATTTTATTTGTTGACTTTAGTTATATCTTCCATGGTTTTCAAAGTTCATGTAAATAGGAAATATACTACTAAGTTGGGGCGGGGTATGGAGGGCAGCATGAAAATAATTTGGAATGCTTGTTTATTTTTAATGTACTTCTAAGTTAAACTATCTGTGTGTTTCTACATCACTGCCATAGATTACAGCTTTATGTAATATTTGTAAATAGAAGAAAAAGGAGGAGGAGGAGAAAAAGAATAAAAAACAAAATAAAATAAAAAGATATCAGGCAAAAAATCATTCTTGTCTGTACATTGAGATCTCAATAACTATGTGAACCTGATCATATAACCTTTCACATGACTTCTTCTCTACCAACCTAAAATAAGAAAAGCTATAACCTCTGATACATTAGAAAAGCCTTCCTTAGATCTCGGTTCTTAATTTTAGTGTAGTCCCCTTCATTTGCTGCTCATAGTGCATATCAAATTTCTTATTCAGGGCCTCTGTAAAGTGATTCTTCCAGTCTCCTATAATCCCTGTAACATACAAAAAAAAAAAAAGTATTATGTTTTCAAGCCAGAATCATGAAGTTTTCTAACATTCATCACTTTCATTAACATCTTGATTACAATAATAAAATACATGCCATAAATAATATACATTTTTGAGCTTGCAAAGGATTTATTGTGTTTGTTAAAACAACAGCAACAACAAACAGCAAATTTCTTTCTCTGACTCTTCCCGCTAATGCTACCTCATTGAACATTTTTTCTCCAATATTGGGGCTTCCTCTTAATGTGAGGTCCACGTTTTACACATGCCCAAGATATTAAATATCATGTTCTTGCTGATAACACTTAAATTCAGCTTTAATTTCCATATCCAACTGCCACCTGAATTACATACAATTATACCAAATTTAACTAGTTCACAAATTAATTCATCGTGTTCCCCACCAAATTGTTTTCTTTTTTTATAACCTGATTAATGGCAGCACCAGTTATCCAAAACATAAACTTGGAAGTTGTCCCCTCAATTTTACAACTAATTTTTTAGTCATATTCAGACTTTCTTCAGACTCATTTCCTTTTCTCTATTTCTGCTGCCACTGACATCGGAATTTCTCGGCGTTTCCCACCTGGGTTATCACAACAGTCTAGAAGGCCCTTCTTTGCTTTCTGCCACATCCAGCCCTCTCCTGGCAGAGGAAGTCACCCTGTATTTTAAATGTCAGCAGTTCACTTTCCACCTGAGTTCAAGAAGCTCTAAACTTTCCCAGTGAAATAATCCAAAAAACAAAAGGTAGAATATATGTATTCTGGGTAGGACATTGACCTATGAACCAGGAAGTCATGCTTCGATTCCAGGTCAGGGCATGTTTCTGGGTTGTGGTTGTGGTCTTAATCCCCAGTGGGGAACTTGCTGAAGGCAGCCAATTGATGAGTTGCTCTCATCATTGGTGTTTCTATCTCTCTCTCCCTTTCCTTTCTCTCGGGAATCAATAAAAATATATTTCTTGAAAAATATATGGACATTGTGGGGGAAAAAAGAGTAAGATAATCTGAGGAATGGATTGTTAAAATATCTTTTTTTCAGGGGCTCCCTGTTTTCACCCAGTGGCAGGTTTATTATTCCTATTATTTAAAAAATGTCCTCACCTTTTCACTGGCAATTTAGTTCAAAGAGCAAGTCTTTTTTTTTTTTTTCTATTCTGCTTATGAAAACAAAACAAAAACCCACATTTTTTTTTTTCCACATATCAGTTAAGTCCAGATGTACCAATACTCTGCAAATCCTACATGTGTTTGGCTTTATAAATGGCATGTATCTCATCAGACCATTCCTCCTGGTCACTTCTTTGTTATTTTGATGTTTTTTTTCCAAATGGAGCCATATTTGCTAGTAAGGGTTTTGAAACCTAGTTTATGTAAAACAGTGTTATTGAGCTATAATCTATATATATATAAAAGTCTAAGAATGAATGACCAATCAACCAGTTGCTATGATAACACACTGACTACCAGCGGGCAGACACTTTCACAGCCAACCGCCCTTGGTAGGCCAACCTCCTATGGTCCCTCCCCCTGGCCAGAAGGCCCCGATCTGCTGGATTGCTGGCTAAGCCAAGGGACCCCTACCATACACAAATTCATGTCCTGGGTTTCTAGTTAGTATACGTATAAAGAACTGTACAAATATAATGTACATACAATTTGATGAGTTTGAACATTTGTCAGTTTTGAAAATGTCTACCTCTTGGTCAAGGAAAAGCTGACTAATTATTGTAAGCTTGCTTCATCATCTTAAAATGAGATAATAACAGAAGCTCTCTCAAGAGTCTCTAGTAAAAATTTAAAGATAATTAGAATTTTAAACTTATATGTGTTAACATAATGTACATAGTATAGCACCAAGACCCCCAGGCCTTGTTAACTGTAGGTGGTAGAGGGTATTAGTTCTGGGTCTGAGGCTGTACTAAGGCTGTAATAAGAATTCTTATTATAGTATCCTATATAATAAAAGGCTAATATGTCAATCAACCGAATAGTGGAAAGGCTAGTCATTATGATGTGCACTGACCACCTGGACTGCAAGAGGGCACAGGCCAGGCTGAGGGACTCCCCGATCCCTTTGTCAAGTGCACAAATTTTGTGCACTGGGCATCTAGTACTAAATAACCAATAAGCAATAGCAATTTATTATTAGTTGTAGAACTAGTGTTTTATGTCTCTGAATACTGGTAACACAGTAAAGAGAGTTCTCATATGTGAAACAGCTCTGCAGAAAACAAGCTGAGTCCACAGATATGAATAGGCCTTCATAGGTTTTTGTCTATAATTATTTCAACGTGTGACCTCCTATAGTAATAGAGGCAAATCATGTGACCATCTCACCCTTTCTCATGAAGGGAGATATTTTTTGGTTCATGATTTCATCTGGTAGTATTGTATAATTGGTTGATGGATTATTTTTCATCTCTTGGAATGAAGTGTGTTGAACAATCTTGTCCACAAGCTCCTTTGATGACTCCCTTCCCAGAAATTGTATAACTTTTATCACCTCTCTTCTGATATCCTAGGAAGAAAAAAATAATTTGAAGACGCGATTACTAAAATTGAATGCATTAATATTTGGAGGAGGGAGGGAGAGAGAGAGAGAGAGAGAGAGAGAGAGAGAGAGAGAGAGAGAGAGATCTCCTCTCCCCACTGATATTGGGATTGGATTTCTAATGAGAAAAAATGCTTCCTGTAGCAGTATTTTAAACTTCTCTAAACACAATTTTCCTCAGCCATAAAATGTACATAAAAGGTACTTTATACCATGTACATTACATACCACATAAAAAATACCACTTTAGCCAAAACCGGTTTGGCTCAGTGGTAGAGCATCAGTCTGCGGACTGAAAGGTCCCAGGTTCGATTCCGGTCAAGGGCATGTTGCGGGCATATCCCCAGTAGGGGGGGGGGGTGCAAGAGGCAGCTGATCGATGACTCTCATTGATGTTTCTAATTCTCTCTATCCCTCTCCCTTCCTCTCTGAAAAAATCAATAAAATATATTTTAAAAATAAATAAAAACAAAATACCACTTTATTACACCATCTACAAAAATAAGCTGAAAAATAAAATGATTTACTTAACTGTATGATATGAAACCATAAAACTTCTAGGAGGAAATACAGTCAGTAAACTCTTTGACATTCATCTTAGAAATATAATTTTGAATATATTATCTCAGGAAAGGGCAACAAAAGCAAAAATAAACAAATGGTACTACATCAAACTTAAAAGTTTCTGCACAGTAAAGAAAACCATAAACAAAAAAACAAAACACAAAAAAACAAAAACAAAAAACTACCTACTGAATGGGAGAAGATATTTGTGAATAATATATCTAATAGGGGTTAATATCCAAAATATATAAGGACCTCAGACAACTTAATATTAAAAAACATGATTAAATCGAGGCAGAGGATGAATAGAAATTTCCTCAAAGAATACATATTGATGGATAACAGACATGAAAAATGCTAAACGTCATTAATTGTCAGAAAAAATGCAAATACAAAAAACATAATGACACAGTGAGATATTACCTTCCATCTGTCAGAATGGCCATTATGAAAAAAGTTAACAAATAAGTTTGGAAAGGATGTGAAGAAAAGAAAACCCTTGTGCATTGCTGGTGGGAATGTAAATTGATGTAATCACTATGAGGGTCCTCAAAAATTTTAGAAAAAATACTACCATATGACCACTTCTGTATATTTATCTGAAGAATATAAAGCACTAACTCAAAAAAAGTATGCACTCTTATGTTCATTGCAGCGTTATTTACAATAGCCAAGATATAGAAGCAACCTAAGAGTTTATGGACAGACAAATGGATTTAAAAGATGTGGTTTATAGATGAAACTGGTTTGATTCAATGGATAGAGCATTGGCCTGCAGACTAAAAGGTCCCAGGTTTGATCCTGGTCAAGGGCATGAACCGTGGTTGCAGGCACATCCCCAGTAGGGGGTGTGCAAGAGGCAGCTGGTCGATGATTCTCTCTCATCGATGTATCTAACTTTCTATCCCTCTCTCTTCCTCTCTGTAAAAAATCAATAAAATATATTTTAAAATAAATAAATAAATAAATAAATAAATAAATAAATAAATAAAGACATGGTTTATATCTTTAAAAGAAAGAAAGAAAGAAAGAAAGAAAGAAAGAAAGAAAGAAAGAAAGAAAGAAAGAAAGAAAGAAAGAAATTTCATCATTGGCAACAACATGAATGGATCTATAGGGTATTATGCTAAGTGAAATAAGTCAGAGAAAGACAAATATTGTATGATTTCACTTATATGTGGTACCTAAAAACAACAACAACAACAAAAAACAGGACAAATGAGCAAACAAAACAAAACAGAAATAGACTCATAGACTCATAGATAGAGAACAAACTAATGGAAGCCAGAGGTGAGGAGAGTGGGGGAATGGGGGGCGGGGGAGGGAAGAGGTGAAGAGGAATAAGAGGTACAAACTTCCAGTTATAAAATAAATAAGCCATGGGGGTGTAATGTACAGCACAGAGAAAATAGCCAATAATCCTATATAATAAAAGGCTAATATGCCAATAGACCAAACAGTGGAACAACTGGAACAACTGAACAACCAAACAACCAGTCACTATGATGTGCACTGACTACCAGGGGGCATGTGCAGAACATGGTGGGCATCGGTAGCAGGTGGCAGAGAGCAGACCATGGTGGGTGTCAGGCGTGGCAAGATGGTGGAGCAGGTGAGCTGGAGAGCCAGACCAAGGTGAAGCGCTGGTCGCTGTCATTAGGGCCAGCCTCTGGTGGTTACTGAACATTTTTTGCTCCTACACCACAGTCCTGTAGGTGCTTGCACCTGCTGCCAGTGCTGGCCCTCACTCATTGCCGGCAATGGAGCTTCTGCTCACACCCACTTCCAGTGCTGGAGCCACCACTCACACCTGCTGCCAGCACCTGGTGCTGGTCCCAATTGCTTGGTGCAGTCAGTGGATGCAAGCAGCAGCTGCCAGCCCTGATTGCTCATGAGGGCTTCTCCATCACCCCCTGCTCCTGAGGGGTGATTGGGGCAGCAGCTGCCACTCACACCCACTGATGGTGCTGGCCATATTTGCATCTGCTGCTGGCACTGGCCTCAATTGCTCTGCACAATCAGTGAGTGCTAGGAGGGCTGGCACCATCAGCACATGGGAGCAGCAGCAGCAGAAGTGGAGCTGCCAGCAGAGAGAGAACTGGGGGTCACGGCAGGAGGGGCTGGGTTGGGGTGCATAAGATGCACCAAGACCCACCCCTGTACCCAGTGCAGCCTCAAGGCCCACAGTTCTTTTCAAGGTGCACGAATTCGTGCACTGGGCCCCTAGTACCATTATAATATTGCATAGTAATAGATGGTTATTAGACTTATTGTGGTGATCACATCATAAATCATGTAAATGTCAAATCACTGTGTTGTATACCTGAAACTAATATCATCTAGTATGCCAACTGTACTTTACTAACATATATATTTTTTTAAATAGATACTTTGTCCAACCAGGTTGACTCAGTAGTTGAACTTTGACCTATGAACCAGAAGATCAAGGTTCAATTCCTAATCTGGGCATATGCCTGGGTTGCAGGCTTGATCCCCACTGGGAAGCATGTGGAAGGCAGCTGATCAATAGTGCTCTCTCATTACTATCTCTCTCTCCCTCTCCCTTCATCTCAGAAATCAATAAAAATAAATTAAAAATTGATAATTTAAAGATTGTTAGAACACTAAGTAAGATGATGTTGTACAATACTTTTTGTAGTCCTCAATGCACTCAATAAATATCTATTAATATTAACCTACACTATCAAATAGTACAGTATACTGTGACAGATAAAGCTTTGAGTTGAAAATGTGCAGAAATAAAACTTCCATTTTTCTTCTAATTTATTGGTGTAACTAGTGAAAAACAAAGGAACCAGACAGGTTAAGAAAATGTGTAAAAAGTCAAATACTCAACATGGAACATTAGATGTTATATCTGAACCATGACTACAAACATCCCCATCTCTATGTATTTCCATACTATTGTGTACCTAGTATCATGCAATGCAACTATTTTCAATATCAATCATAATGTTTATTCTGGAATGTAATTTTCTGTACATAGAATGCTATTCTCAGATTCTCTGTCCTACAAATTTAGCCTGCCTATTAAACCAGCTTATGTAGCACCTTCTTTAGGAGGAGGTTCTTGACCCTTCCAATTTGAATTAAATGACATGTATTGATTATTACTTATATGTGTATTTGGGTTGTTTCCAATGTGTATGGTATGAGGATTGCTGCTGTGAGGTTTTTTGTACATATACAGTTGCTCAAGAATATATATCTATTAGTGGAATTCCTGGGTCTTCAGTTCCTTTCTTGTTTTTCCCTTTGTAGATAGTGACAAGTTGTTTCCATTGTGTATCTTTTACACTACCATCAGCAGTATGTTACTTCTCACTGATTCATATCCTGACTAAATTTATTATTGTTAGACTTTTTCATTGTTGTCAGGCTAGTGGTTATGAAATAATATCTCATAGTGATTTTTATTTGGAATTATCCTGATTACTAATGAAGCTAGAGAAAAACTAGGTTATAAGGAAATTTTGAGGTTATCAGATTTTTATATATTGCTGTTCTAAGCATTCTCTTAACTCTCTCCTTTTGAAGGTTTGAGTTGTTATATATGGAACCTTATCATGTTATCCTACATATCCATTACATTTTTAAAAATAAAGTATTCTGTTTATCTTAATGTGGTAAATTCTATAGAATTAACTCAGCTCCATTTTCCACATTATTAATCCATGATTTATTCATGTTTTACTATTATTTAAACCAACTCTTAATTTCTAATTTTAATTTATTATTTTAGAGATTCTATTTTGCTATTTTTCCCAAGTTGACTTGTTAAAGTTAGTAGCCTTTTGCGGTTTTGCAAAATATTAATTTCTTCTTTTATTTCTCTAAACATCCTATATAATAAAAGCCTAGGTGGCTTCATGCGATGCCCTCGTGCAATATCATCACAAGATGCCAGTACAAGATGGTTAGTAGGGGAGGACAGTGGTGGGGCAAACAGGCCAGCATGGAAGGGCAGTTGGGGACAACGAGCCCCACAGAGGAGAGCAGTTGTGGGTGAGGGGGACCAGGCCTGCAAGGGAGGGCAGTTAAGGATGAACAGACCAGCAGAGGAGGCCAGTTGGGGGCAACCAGACCTACTGGGGAGGGCAGTTGGGGGTGACCATGCTAGCAGGAAAGCAGTTGGGCATCAATCAGGTCAGCAGGGGAGTGGTTAGGGGCAATAAAGCTGGCAGGCAGAAACAGTTAGGGGCAATCAGGCAGGAAGGCAGGTGAGTGGTTAGGAACCAGCAATTCTGGATTGTGAGAGGGATGTCCCAGATTGGAGAGGGTGCAGGCCAGACTGAGGGACACCCACCATGCATGAATTTTGTGCACAGGGTCTCTAGTATTAAGCATAATTATATTAAAGCCCTTACCAGACATATATAGATTTGGAAACTAGTTGACTCTTCTTGCCTGTTGTAATTCCTTTTGTAAGCATGTGCATGTGTTGTTTGTTTTATAAACTCAAGTTCTTCCAAATTTTATTGTTGGTAATTTTTTGAGACTTAGTTTAAACATATGCATTCATTTACAGGAAATTTGTACAGGAATTCCTTGGGTTATGTTGCCATTTCCACTTACAATATTTATGGGGGGAAAAAGTCCCGTCATTTCAAAATATGTCCATATGTGCTTTATATTTTTTATTATTTATTTACCATAAGTAAAGGTCAGGAATTGTTATCTTTCTTTTAAATTTTTTACTGTCTGACTTCATTACTGCTGTGTATGTGCTCCATGTGAGTGACATAGGTGCTTATGTAGGTGGGTTCCAACTTACAGCAAAAAAGGCTCTGTGTCTCACTGGAGGAATGGATCTCAGACATAACCCAAGGACCTATTGTATTTACTAACTTTAAATCTGTATTAAAGTACCTGGATAATTGTGACTTTTGGAGGTGACAGCATCATTTATTTAGAAGTAGACCTTTATCTCTAGATATTGCCAAAAGCTAACATTTTAGAAATTACTAAATTGTCCATTTGTTTTAAGTTTCTCACCTCCTTCATGTCTTCATAGAAAAGAAATAGCAAATGTGGATTCTTTCTCAGTTCCCACCAAGATTTTACGTGTTCGTACCAGGAACCATAAGGAACTAAAATTAGAGATAAAGACAATATAAGAACACAGTATCATCTCTATACAGCTTGAAAAATGAGTGTTTAAACAAAAGTAGCAATAAATAAATATAAATAAATGATCATGAAAGATTTCCCTGCAGCAAGGAGGCAACATATGTTGAATAATTTATATATGGAAACATATTCTCAACTTCCATCATTGTGACATGGTTTCTGGCACAGAGAACAAGTGAAGAAAGTCCCTCCTCCCATCAATTTGATTCATACTTTATGAGATCATTTTTGAAACGCGTGTGTGTGTGTGTGTGTGTGTGTGTGTGTGTGTGTTTGTATGTGTAAAATCAGATTGTTAGTGAAGGGAGTTGAATTATTGAAACTATCAAAGTTCTTATAATAAGAAGTCAGCCCAGTTCACCGATTTGTCATTTACAACCTGGCTTTGACAACTGAAAATAGTAACTATGTAATAATTTATTACAGTACTTACAGTTTCTATGATAAGAGCTATTCTCTTGGGAATCTTTAGTGTCATTCTCACTCTAAAAGAATTAGATTGGGAGATGATGTGATATGTTATCTCTTCCTTTCTCTTTCCTTATCTTTTTCTCACATATATCCAAGTGTTTCAGCCAATAAAAGCTCACAAAATGATTTAATAAAGTGTGAGTCCAAGTATTCTGCTTTGCACTAAATCATTGTATATGTCTTCTATTATTTGACTCTATTAGCAATTTTTCTTTTCAGGAAAAGTTATATGATGTTATTTATAATTATCTTATTCATCTCTTTTGTGGAGATACAACTTTTTGTTTCTTTACCTTACAATGTTAGTTTTAATGCTCTTGAGGCAAATATTTTATTCATTATGCATTAGCATAAAATTTCTCAAATACAATAATAAAAATAAAGCACAAATATCCTACTTTTAGTGAGTGAATATTAGCTTTTATGGGTATAAAAGTGATGTTGTTATCATTTTCCTTACAACTTATTACTACTGAATCAGAATGGCCTTCTTCAGTTAACATTAGAATCTCCCGACCACTTTCTTCCTTCATCTCTAGTTGAATAAAAAGGTAACATTTTTCAGAATTACTTCTCAAGTAATTCTTGTACTGTTCTGAGAAATCTAGTTGAATCATTCAGACTGTACACTGTGTGAATGCATAAAAACTCTGTAGATATTCAGACTTCTTTATAAATTGTGGCTCATGTAACATCTGAAATTTTCCTTGGAAACAAATAGGCACTCTATCTCCTCTATTCTCTCCCTCCTCTTGTTCAATAGAGTGATACTAACATTCTGTGAAATATTTTTCTAATAAAAAAGAACAAGAGAAAAAATTGGATGCTGAGTCTGAATCTTAGAGAGAAAAATTGTTACCTCCACCCCCTATATATTTATTTTTAGGCATGAAGCTGGACTTTCTATATTCTACAATTTGCCGTCCACATTTGAAAATTTGCTCTAAAGTTCAAGGGCATCTAGAACATCTGTGTTTTAAATAAGGATCAGGGAAAATAACAGATCAGGAAAAACAACAAACATTTTAGCTCAGAGACGCCATTTGTCTTGTATCATTTACTTTGAAAGAATTCAAAGAAAGGAAGTTGTTTTTACCTTCTCCATCCATGAATTTTTCCACAAACTCTGGAAAAGTTCCAGGATTTGGATGACCAGCCACCATTTGAAAGAAATAATAAAAAGAAACAGCCACATCCTTGGCATTCCGACAAAGATAGATCATCTAAGAAGGCAAAATCAAATATTAAAATACCCCAAATTTTTAATTTAGTTTCATCAATAGTTAAAAAGAAGGCATTTGTGTTTTAAACTATAACAAATTACATACTCAACTTAGAAAGTATATATAGTTATTTAAAAGTCCTTTAATAGCCTGAAATGACAGCATCTTTTACTGTGTTGCTCAATGTTAATTCTCACTTTTTCATTTTTATGCTATTTTTATAGATAGCACCTCATTTAAGTGTTACAATTCCATTGTTATAAATTGGACCAGGTAGATTATTATCCTTAATTTATACGTGAAGAAACTAAACTAAGTCACAATACAATACTGAGAATAAATGCATGAGAGTAAATGATTTAATAAATTGCTCAGTCATCAGTAAAGTCTTCTGATTTTTATACTACACCACTATTCTGTATAGTAAAGTAAAAAAAAAAGTCCTATTGTTTCCTCACTCATACTCTTTAAAAAAAATCATGTTCCTGTGGGTCAATATGCACATTCATCTCAGCAAAAATGTAAACTTCTCACCAATATCTTATTGAGTTTCCGTTTTACATAAAGGGGAAACACTAGCAAATTAACCAGCAGGGTCCTCGGTTTTAATTGCTAGTTCTGGCACGAAGAGTTTCTATCATCTTGTACAAAGCACCAAGATTTTGGACCTAAATGTCTATCCACTAAATAAGTCAGTTGGGTCAGATCTATGTGGTCGCTTCTTAGTAGGTCTGATACACAATGCTGCTGAAAACGTTCTGCGGAAGTAAACTGCATATCCCTGTGGTGTCCCACTTCTGCCCTCAGGCTCCTGAGCAATGCCATCAGGGAAGAAAGGCTCTGTTGATGTATCCACCTGCAGGGATGGGGAACCTTCTTTCTGCCAAGGACCATTCGGATATTTAATGCAGCATATAAAATTGTCAACTTAAAAATTAGCCTGGTCAAACATTTAATGAACTTACCCTTAATGCCTTTGCAAGGACAGACCAAATGACTGTGGGCTTTACATGGTCCTTGGGCCAGATGTTCCCCACCCCTGGTTTGTGAGATATGATTAGTTTCACTAACTTGTCTTATTCAAGTCTTCACCTTTTCAAACAATTATAAAGAAATCTTCTATTTTATTCTAAGAAAAAATGGATCTCAATGTTAAGATCCTACTATAAAACCTCTAATTACTACAGAAAAAAAGTGAATTGTCTTTTCTCATCAAAGCTATTATTAACCCTGTTGAACATTTATTAAATGTTTATAGATACAATGAAAGAATAAAGAAATAAGCATGTATACAACACAGTTCTGACTTGAATATTCCAAAATTTTCTGGAATTGGGTAGTTTTAAGAATACTTGATTCTGGTTACCTTACAGTTCTTTTCCCAAAATGAGGCGGGAAGAAGCTGTGCTGGCAAATGAGTTTTTATGATTCTAGGAGATGCCATCTCTTTTAATTGTCTTACCCCTGGATTATAAAAAAAAAAGAAAGCTTAGATAATTTTAAAAATTATAAATATTTATATGATTTTATAGGTATTTAAAAATTAGAAATAACTTTAAGATTTTATCTTTTATTAATGATAATATTATATACAAGGTATATACTAACTATGACAGAATTTTAGATAGAGAAAATAATAGAAAAAAAAAACAAGATCAAATAAAATTTCATCACTTTGGAAAAATAATTCTTAACATTTGGGTCAGTAGCTTTCTATACAAATACTAGAGGCCCCGTGCATGAAAATTGATGCACTGGAAGGGGGGGGGGGGTCCCTCATCCTGGCCTGATCCCTCTCACAGTCTGGGAGCCCTCAGGGGCAGGAGACGACCTAGAGATCAGGCGAAGGTAACACTCCATCACACCTCTGCTAATGCCACTGCCGGCAGTGCAAGCCTTGGCTAACCCTGGTTATCTGAGTCTCAGGCAGCCCTGGGTGGCTGGGAAGCCACCATCAGAGGCTTGACTGTGCCTTGGGCCAACCCCTGAGGTTCTGAGGCGGCTGTGGTACTCCAGAGGCGGGCTGAGGGGACTGGACACCACCATCTTGAGACTGTGGGTATCACTACCTTTGAGGGTGTGGCAGTCAATTAGCATATTTCCTCCTTATTGGCTCTGGGTGCTGCCATCTTTGTGACAGGTTTGGGTCAATTAGTATATTCCCTCTTTATTAGATAGAATATCTATCTATATGTCCAGACTCACAGCCACCCAAATATTACATACACACATAAATTTTAAAATATTTTTTAATTCTTCTTTTTCCTCAGTATATTACACTGATACTGCAATGTCAAGAAACATAAGATAGCCTAACATTTTTAATGATTTCATAGTGTTATTAGTAGCTCATTGTGTGATATCGCGCTCAGCAGGCTACCCACCACTTCCACGGGAGCCAGCGGGAACTGCAATACGCTGCCCGGAGCTGTGCTGCTTCCATGGGAGGCAGGCCTGCCATCTCCTCTCTGGGCCTGTGCTCGGCCACAGAGACTGAGGGCTGGCCCTCCTATCCCCCAGAGGCTCTCCACAGCCAGGGGGGTGGCTTGCTTCATCGCTGTGGTGATGAAGCAAGCATTCTGCCAGGCCACTCACACTGTCCACTCTCAGAAGCTGCCCCCAGGACTAGGGGACTCCAGTGGGATTAAGAGAACTGGGTGCCGCCATCTTTGTGACAGAGTGATGGTTAATTTGCATATTAGCCTTTTATTAGATAGTATTATATAACTTCTAAGTATTCTTTTCTTAACTAACATGGTTAAGAATTTTTTTTACAATGTTAAAACAATCTTTAATAAATATCTTTTTGCATAGATCCTTTAAAATGTATCTTTTTCTAGTGTTTAAAGTATTACCACATTTAGCCCTTAGAGTAAGGTGACCAGACGTCCCGCTTTTGGCGGGACAGTTTCGATTTTTAACAATTTGTCCTGCATCCCGCAGCGGTTTAAAAAAGTCCCGATTGTTGGAAAAGAATCTTTCCAACAATCGGGACATTTTTAAAATGTTGTGGGACGCAGGACAAATTGTTAAAAATTGGAACTGTTGCCGAGGCCGGTTTGGCTCAGTGGATAGAGCGTCGGCTTGGGGATTGAAAGGTCCCGGGTTCGATTCCGGTCGGGGGCATGTACCGTGGTTGTGGGCACATCCCCGGTAGGGGGTGTGCAAGAGGCAGCTGGTCGATGATTCTCTCTCATCGATGTTTCTAACTCTCTATCTCTCTCTCTCTTCCTCTCTGTATAAAATCAATAAAATATATTTAAAAAAAAAATTGGAACTGTCCCGCCAAAAGCGGGACGTCTGGTCACCTTACTTTACAGACATAAATATATATTACTAGGCTCTACTGAGACATATAAGAGCTATTCACTCTTTTCTAAATACATGCTACAGCATAAACTCTGTCAAGATTTTCATTTAAATTTACATGTTTTGCTATGTAGAAGACATACTATTAATTGCCATTGTTGCTTACAGTCTCTTTACACATATCACCTACATTCACACTTTAAAAGATATGAAACATATAGCTTTTAAAATCAACTTAAACATTACCATTCATCATCTCTTCTTTTCTGCATTCCAAGAAAGGTATTCGATTAAAAATGGCATCTCTCTTGCACTTTTCCACATCACCATCTTTAAATATCATATCTACAATTTCACTCAGCCAGGTTGTACCTGTAAAAATTAAACAAATCTGAGTCTTCCATTGACCATTCTGGGCTGGTGATGGAAGTGATGAATTTATAAATGGATAAAGTAGGGTGGTACCAATGTAGTATTATTTTAAAGGTGCCAGAATAGCCACAAGACTCAATAAAGATGAATATTATAGTAAAACATACCTGTCGTAGGAGTCCCAATTTGTCCATGATGAATCGGGACATTATGCACACTGATAACAATTTGGATCTAAATGTTTATACTTAAAAACTAAGGAGGCTTGAATAACAGATGATACACCCGAGTATGCTTTCAAACACAAACTTACCGATAGTTTTTTATGCTTGCTCAAATTGTCTTAGTTCAGAGGATACTGAAAAAAATAAATCTGGCCCTTGAATCAATGGTGATCAAAGGCCCTTTGAAGAGTTAGAAACAATGTTTTGTTTTTTTTTCTTAAAATGTTACAAAACCACTGAGCACAGGGATTTAAAGGACTGCAAAAGAGAAACATTCAATTCAGTATGAATCTGCTGCTGTGATTTAAAAAAAAATATATATTTTATTGAATTTTTACAGAAAGGAAGGGAGAGGAACAGAGAGTTTGAAACATCGATGAGAGAGAAAAATCGACCAGCTGCCTCTTGCACACACCCCACGAGGGATGTGCCCGCAACCAACGTACATGCCCTTGACCGGAATCAAACCTGGGACCCTTGAGTCCGCAGGCCAACACGCCATCCACTGAGCCAAACCAGTTTCAGCAATGCTGTGATATTTAGACAAGAAATGCCTTCAATAATTGAGCTTAGATTTAACAAATTATTGGTATAAATTCACCAGTTTTGTGAGGTAGGGAAAGATTTTACCATTCAGGACAACTGTCCTTTTTATTTTATTTTTTTAATTTAAGGTCAGATATTTAAGAATATTATAGTGGGGAGGGCAAGAATTGGAAATAGATTGTGAAGCCTAGATCAAAGAGTCCACCTGAAGAGATGAGTGGGCATGAAGCCATAGGGGCAATCAGACAGCAAGCATAAAATACCTAATTATTCATACTGAAGTATAGAAAGGCATTGGCATACATTAAATAAGAGAACAAGTTTATGAGGCTTGAGTTTTAGAAGTCCTCTAGTGGCAGAGTAAATAGAACAACGGAGTGAGATTAGCCCATTCTATGTCACCACCTCTCCTATCAGTCTCGGAGTGGCTTTTTCTTTACATCCTTAGTTATATAACTTCTGTTCGGCTAGATTTCAGGTGGTTCTGAATGATGGTTATTTTGTAGTTTAGTTGTAATTTTGATATGATTGTGGGAAATTTTAAGTACTACTTTTATCTACAGTCATTTTACCAGAAGCCAATTATACCCCTTTTTCAATAAGTTCTAGGTATAAATTATGATCTTAGAATATATATATTATATGGCCCTTTTCCTATGTTTATAGAAACGACTATATCTTATCTTATTTAATATGAAGAATGAGTGTGAAGGAAGTAAACAGCTTAACACTTACCATTCAAGCTACTCTGTCATTATTAGGAGACAAGAACAAGTTAGACATAGGGAGACTCACCAGATTTGGGAAAGGTGATAATGACAGTGTCATCTGATCTTGCCTGAAATGTCTCCACATCATCCCAATATTTGACAAAATCTTTATACATTAGAATTCCATGGACTCTGCTAAAGAATTCAGAATCATCACCTTTGGAAGAAGCCATCACAGAATTCTAATTCATGAGAGAGGAAATAAAGTTAGTAGATACTATAACAATGGATTAACCCTAAGGAAGAAATAGCTTATGATAAAATTTTAGAAAGGTAAGTGTCCTACAAATGAAAGCAAATAATTAGACAATTGACTTGTTACTGAAGTCTTCTTCTTGTACTGTTTCCCCACTAAATTTCTAGCTGCACATTACAGATGTAAACTTCCAAATGTTGCCTCCTAACTCATCCTTACCAGAATCTGACATTAAATCCCATTGATTCTATCTCTGTTATTTTCCATAGTTAAGGTCGCTGCCCTACAGTGTTTCCCCGAAAATAAGACCTCCGCTGAAAATAAGACCTATTTACAGGTTTCCTTCTGAGTGAAATATAAGGCATCCCCTGAAAATAAGGCCCCTTCTAGGCTAAACATGAAAGATTTGGTCCACTGATTCTGAAAGAAATGGAGTCACAAGAAATTCACCAGGAAATTCAGGAATTGAATTGTTATGATGATGTTCCAGAAGATGATGACATGATTGTCATTGAATAAATGGGTAAATTCTTGATACTGTAGGATTTACAGTTTGTCTGGTTTGTGTTGACAACTACCGTACTACCGTACTGTATACAGGTAATAAATTTCCTTTATTTTCATTTAACAATAAATGTGTGTTGTATTATTCTTCATGGAAAAATAAGACATCCCTGAAAATAAGACCTGCACATCTTTGGGAGCAAAAATTAATATAAGACACTGTCTTATTTTTGGGGAAACAGGGTAGTTAGGAACCTTTCCAACTGTTGACTGAATATACAAAAATAGCCTTTCCTTTGGCCTTCCTGTAAAAAGTTCATATATCCTCTTCTATAATCACCAGAGGAAGGAAAATGAATGCTATTTACTTATGTTGTGCTTGACTTAAAAGGTTTTATTTTAAAATCTTATTTGTAAGTCATATATTTCTATGAAATAGCAGACATCATTATCAATTAGGTTAGGTTTGTCCTGCATGATATTTATTGAAGGTGCAACCATATTTGTCTTACACAAGAAAGAATAAATATACACACATGTAAACACATGCATATAAATGTATAATTTGGGGCACAATATTTGAAAAAAATTAAACAACTTAGAGAAAAGTATCCTCTTTATTATACTATTAAGAGATAACCATTCCTAATAGCATTGTATTTATGCTTCCAAATATCTAAATATATATTAAAATCTAGATTATATATGACATTATCCATTTATTTGAAATCTATTTTCTCACTGACTGAACTATATAATGTGAACCTATTTTTGTCTTAATATGTAAATTCTGTTGTTAATCTTATTAATGAAGCATAGTAGTCCATAGTATGAATATAACATGGATGATATAATTATTTACTGATGGAAATTCCTGTTTTTACCAATTATTTTGAAATAAGTAGTACTTTAATACTATCTTTGACCACCTTAGGTTAAATCCTAGCTCTGCTAATTGAAATTGTATGACCTTGGCCAATTAACTTGACTATGCTCCATTTCCCCATCTACAAATTGAGGATGATAATAATTGTACTTACCTGAAACAGTCATTGGGAATCAAGTGAGGGAATAAGCCTGACCAATTATAAATGCTAAATAAGTATGAACATTTATTGTTATTATGCCACCTCTATATGATAATGTAAGAGAACCAGACCCTGGACTCTCTCAGTAACAGTACACTTTACAGAGTAATGATACATCTGTTCCAAGCAGGGAAAATATTTTATTGTTTAAAATTTCCCAAGGATATTAATATAAAATTGTCTGAAGAAACTCATAGTCTGGGATCTGTTTTCTACTGGACAGGATACCATCTATGCATGTCTAATGTGAATGCTGTCCCTGTTTTACTTGTCTAAAGTTCTCCGGTATGACATTCATTTCATTTAAGCTCCAGATTGCACAACAGAAGAGAGACACAATATAAAAGCTTTTCTATTGTTTGTTTTTAACCAAAGAATGGTTTATCATGTGTTTTTGGAAACCACAGAACAGCATTAATTATGGTTGTTCTTACCAACAAGGGAAAATAATCCCAGTCCTTAAGGGCAAACTCAACTATTTTAAAACTTCCTTCTCAGGTTTATCAGAGGTAATCTCACCAAAATCATATTTTTAATAGAATCAGTTTGTTAATAAATCTGCTTGTTCCCCAAACCTTCCCTTACTCTCAAAAATGAGATCTTTCACTAGGAGAAATGTTTATAAAAGGCATCACTTGCCCTGCCTACTAATTTGTTTATTCATCTAAACAACTTTCTTGGTGTCCTGCCAAGTTTGAAAGAATTGGCTTATAATCATCTGGGAGTAGCTGATTTATCATTAAAGAGTTGTTTGACTTTTGGCTGCCCCTTTATGATCAATTTTGGACTTGGAATTAAACTAGGTGGCATATAATAACATCTCTTTGCTTAACTTTTTTTGGTAAATTATCTCATATTACAATGTATGGACACACTGTCTAACTGCTCTGTTCTTTCCCAAAGAACATATTTCAGTTGGAAAGGGTGAGTTTTATTTTCTGAGTATATAGGTTACTGTTGTCTAGGGACACCAACAAAACCCTTGTTAAAACTCTGATTAATAAATTCAATTCAGAAAGATGTTTTCTTCTTTTTTATATATATATATCTTCTTTACTGTCTCTCTTTTTCCTTTCTTCCTTTTTTATTCGTCCTGCCTTTCTCCATCTCCCAATCTGCCTTTGATTTAGAAAACATTCTCTATGCGAGCACTTACTTCATCCCCAAGCACAGTGTCAAGGGCTGGGATATCATGGTGAGTATATGCATAAGGCTCACTTAATTCTCATCATCTTGGACTTACCTAGATTTAGGTAACGTGGCCGAAAGCTGAGAATATCCTTTTGTACATAATTTTATCCCAGGCCTCAGCACTGTGTCATTAAGTAAATGCTCAAAACCATTCATTAAAGTTGTTAGTTCAAGTCACTCTGAGCTTTCTAGGGTTTTCTAAAGACTTCTAGATAAAATAGGTATTATACTACTAATGATATATCAGAAATTTACCAAGGACTTGTATTTCTGCTGTATTCATCTTTTGTCTCTTACTCAACAATAATGTTTGCAAGATCCGTGGTCATAATAGGCTGCTTCTGACAGATTTCATGCAAGTGAACTCCAGTCTAAAAGTCAGTCTTCACTCTGATGCTACCTTGCTTGCTGTATTTCTTTATCAATAAAATGGAGAATATGTCTAGAGAGCAGGACTTACAAAATAACTAAGATACTGCAGTTTTATGTTAAAACTCTTTACACAGAAAAGCACTACAATAAATGCATGATGTTATTTGTAATGACACACACGTGATTTAAAGAGGTTGTAAATGCTTTACATTATTAAGTGACTAAAGCATTGATAAAGATTTTATACTTCCCTTTTAACAGCTTTGTGATAAACAGTTTGCATTTATGTTTCCTATATGTTAATCTAAATAAAAATGTTAATAATAATAATAAAATACAACCTGTCCAGATGATCCTGTGAAGGAAACTGAGTGATTCAGTGTAGTATTCCTCAAATCCCCACTCAGGTTTTAAGCTGCAAAAAAAAAAAAAAAAAAAGATGAGTTGTGCATCTAGGATGTTTCTGAGGAGCTTTTATTTCTAATGCCAGAGAAGGAGGTGGAGATTAATTTGTGGGCTTGGCTTTCTAGTCTGTGATGCAATGGAGTAACAAATATAGAATACATACCTGCAAATGCATACAGTCCCACACAGTCCTGCTCATTCATACAGAGATGTGGAAAGCCTCTGCTGTTATTTTTCAATCTTGGCTCAGGTTGAAATTCCTAGATCTGTCCATAGCAATCAGTGGGCTGGGGATCGGGAGGGAGAGGAAGTGAAGGGGAAGATGAGGGAGAAGATTAGAGCAAAATGTACGGCAGCTTGGGAAGAAAAAGCCTCTTACTCACTGATGAATAATAAGATGGTTAAGGTTGACCTTCAAAGAACAAACTTGCTGGAGGAGTGAGAGGAGAGAAGAAAATGACAGGAAAGAAATAGGTGGGCGGTAAGGACCCTGAATCAGAGACCTAGCTCAATTTACTAAGAATTGTCAAAGAAGGCTTTATATAGTGCTTGGTTGTATCCTAACAAGTCACTTGGAAAACATCTATCTAAAATATTTGCTTTCAGCTTTTAAGCAGTCCTGAAAATCAAAAACAGATGACAGCTAAGGAAAGAATGTAAATATCATTTACCTTTAGATTATTACTTTAAAAATCTCACCTTTCTCTGCTCTAAATCACATGCATAATGAAAGGCTTAGTATGGAATTTCCAGTTAAAGTTATCCATTAATACCATTGGAATTTAGATAAAAGCATGAAAAAAAAAGTTTGTGAAATCTATGATCCTACACTTTTCTTTTTACATCTCGGTACCTACTCTGTCTTTAGTTAAGAAAATTCTTCCTTGCTACCTCAACTCCATCTCCATCAATACCTCCAACTCAATTCCAAACCTAATTCGTTTTCATTTGTCTCTTAATTTTCACTTAATTGCATTTCCTTTGAAAGACCTTTAGTGACACTTAGAGGACTGAATATCCCCTTGAGTGAGCTTCAAGCTCTCTACTAGCTATTAATTGGCTCTATTTCACTATGCTGAAGTTAAAATTTACTTATCTAGCTTGCGTATCAGGGAATATATTAGACTATATATGGCTTAATAAAAGGTCCTACTATATAATTAGCACACTGCTTGGCATCTAAAGTCTAAGGATTAAATATATACTAACTAAATAAAAGTGGCTGATGTTCAAGAAAGATAAGAAATTAATCCATACTTGATTTAGTTCAGTGGATAGAGCGCCTGCCTAAGGACTGAAGGGTCCTGAGTTTGATTCCAGTCAAGGGCACATGCCCAGGTTGTGGGCTCAATTCCCAATAGGGGCATGCAGATGGTAGCCAATGGATGATTTTCCCTCATCGTTTATGTTTCTATCT